TGGACGGTGTAACCTCATTACCTTGTGATAAAACTGCCCATTCACGTGACGACTACCTCCTCAGGCTTATGCCGTTTGGACTCCAGAAATTTCGGCTCCGAGCTCATTTTCAAGTTGCCTACCATCCACTAAAAACTTGTATATAGGGGTAATTTAACATCCTGATTACGAATATGACATTCATTTTTGGCGCTGGCGCTAATGGATGACACTACGGTTACCTGCGCTCTGCTAAGGCTGAGCCCAGGTCGTAGTGTCCTCTCTTGGCGCCAGCGCCAAGAATGAGTGTCATACTCGTAATCAGGATGTTGAATTACCCCTATATACAAGTTTTTAGTGGATTTGGTGACTTAGGCAATTTGAAAATGAGCTCGGAGCCGAAATTTCTGGAGTCCAAACGGCATTAGCCTGGGGAGGTAGTCGTCACGTGAACGGGCAGTTTTATCACAAGGTAATGAGGTTACACCGTCCAATCCAGACACAGAAACGAGGGATCTACTCTTGTTCATAGCGCGTTCTTTGGAGAAGCAATGGAATGGATCTCTCTGATAATTCAAATGATCCATGAGACAACACAGCTCGTAGCAAAGACTGTGGCGTCACAGGCCACGCCCAACACCGCGACGACCCGTGATAGAATCGCTACGTACCCGGTCACGGTGCTCACATGGCGGGGGATTAGTGGCGCGGCAGTCTTGAAGCTGCTTTGACAGGTCAGAAAAATCCATGGGTTGTTTTGCGTCGTCGATCCACACGTTGTCTGACCTGTCCGTGTTCCCTTCGGTAACTCGACGGAGCCATCACACAGCACAACTCGTACGCGATGGCTCGGCGTCACCACCCGTGCCCACCATCGCGGTGAATTGTAGGGCGGTCGAATGGCGCAGCTGTCAGCTGTAATACTACCACTGGCTGAACTGAGAGAAAATGTCCAAGCAGAGGTATTCCTCAATACTGAATCACCTGGCTTTGCAGGTGACAAATGCTCATAGCGATCATTTCAATCCGAAACAGTTTGTTACCAAGAGGCGCACGTCCTCAAGCAGATGTGGTTTCAGAGCTGTCGCCGCGTAACGTTACGTGCTGACTATGCTGACTATTGTGCAAAAGGCATGGTGACTCTCATAGCTGGTGGCGGATCGGGACACGAGCCCTACGCTGCAGGTGAGTTAGCGATTGGTAGCCATCTGACAACATCCAATAATTTCGATATTCATCCATTAGAGCAGCTGTTAAGGCTATATTGGTCCCGGAATGCTCACAGCCGCTGTAGCTGGTAATGTCTTCGCTTCTCCGCCCTCTCGTCACGTCAGTGCGGCTCTGAATTCGACTACTACAAAAGGTAACATAACTACAGCTGATGTGTAGGTTCTTAAGCATGGTTCAGGGGCAGTGGCATTTTTTGACTCTTAATATTATTTCGTACCCGACTCAAACGCCATGGCTCTCAAGTTTCTAGTGAAAGGCTTTGTTTAGCCAGACACTTTTTTTTACAGACACCCGGTGCCGATACGGGGTAACAAACCATTTATCTGGATGGCCTCACAGAAAAACCCACCGACAGCGCGCATGCGGCGCGGTGGCGTTGCAGCGATAACGCGAGGGTTGAAGTGTCACCGCTCTGCCACAACACTTCAGGCAGTAGAAACTAGGGTGGGAGTCGTTGGAAGATGCCTAATACTGCCCTCCATAGTATGGAAGAATGGCTGAAAAACTGTGGACATGGATTGAAGCATAGGTTGGCAAAGCATCACCGATTCCCACTAGAGGGCAGTGACAGTGGAGGTAGTCCTCGTTCGTCTCTAAGCCGCACCACCGCTACAATATTACTTGGGACGCCCGCGAGTCTTCTCTCCCCCCCCCCCCTATCCAACTGGTGCCATCAAAAGGCCAAAAGGTCACGTGGAGCGAAACACACTGCCATCATGAGGCTGATTGTGAGTTATGGGCAAAATGGGGGTCTCGTTCCACTATCATATGTTACATACATCATCCAGAAATAGCTTTCTCTCCTATAGGAGGCTCCATTCTCTTCATTATCAACTATACCGGTGATAGGCTGAATTTTGGCCTAGCTGCGGAGCGATACAAGGCAGCTGGGCACAACGTACGGGTGGGTATTTATTTCAACTTTGTCAAATGATTACAACACCAAGTCACTCTATTCTAGGTAGTTACGATAGCTGATGATGTCGCTATTGACAGCGCCATGTCGACGGCCGGAAGGAGAGGTCTTGCCGCTGCAGTTCTTGTACTCAAAGTAAGTTGACCAGAAGTAAAAAAAGGGATGTTTATGGAGGTTAACAGTATTAAAAAAGCAAGACAACACGTCCAATTTTGAAGTATTGAAGGTTGCTGGTGCCATGGCCGAAAGTGGCAAGCATACGGTAGAACAAATTGAATCCATGGCAAACCGAATCAATGACCATGCTGGTGAGTGCTCTTCTTCCTTGCGAAAACCTTTCATCGCAAAATGGAGCTTGGGATGGTGACGTAGTTGGGCCGGTAGAAGTTCACGTCCTATCTCCCAACCATAGGATGCGAACTTCTAGCGGCCTAGGAAGGCTAACAAGGGAATGGTTTGAACTTCCCATGGAACTTTGAATGGAGACCTAGGTACATCGATAGAGCCTCGAATGCTGATTACGAATATGCAGATTAAAAGTGCTACGGGGACCTCCCAGACGAGATCTGGGTGGTCAAGTTTGCGAAAAGCCAGTTTTGGCTCGTAAGCGCTGCTGATCGATGCCTCGGCAGTGCCACCGTGGCCTCGTGGTAATGGTTTACTTTCAAGTTGGACGCATGCGGGTTTGCATCCGGTTGGCGCGAAAACTTTTGCTTCGCTCCCTATAAGAGCTTCAACTCTAATTTTCGAAATTCTTCCGAATTTACGGCCCAGCAGGGCAAGTAGATCAAGTACATCAAGTATACGACGTACTCGATCTAGTATGGATTTGGTCATATCTGCCCTCTCTGAACATATTACCCATCCAATTCAAAGTTTTGCCCAGAATCGCAATTTGGCCAGACGAGCGTTTTTTCGTCGAAGGATGTGATATTCGTGTTCAGGGGGTCGAAATCTCCCATGAACGAGTTTCTCGCTAAAACTTTGAATTGTCGGATGGGTAACCTGTTCAGAGAGGGCAGATATGACCAAATCCATACTAGATCGAGTACGTCATATACTTGATGTACTTGATCTACTTGCCCTGCTGGGCCGTAAATTCGGAAGAATTTCGAAAATTAGAGTTGAAGCTCTTATACGGAGCGAAGCAAAAATTTTCGCGCCAACCGGATGCAAACCCGCATGCGTTTGACTTGAAAGCGAGACCATTACCACGAGGCCACGGTGGCACTGCCGAGGCATCGATCAGCAGCGCTTACGAGCCAAAACTGACTTTTCGCAAACTTTGACCACCCAGATCTCGTCTGGGAGGTCCCCGTAGCACTTTTAATCTGCATATTCGTAATCAGCATTCGAGGCTCTATCGATGTACCTAGGTCTCCATTCAAAGTTCCATGGGAAGTTCAAACCATTCCCTTAAGAAAAGTTCATACTTCATGACACGCGCGATTTAGTCGCGCGACTACTGGCGACCGCTCTTTTCCACTCGTTTGACCACCGCAAATAACCAAGAAGGTTCTCTTCTTAAGGTGATTGAATTATTAGTTGTCCTGGTCCAGACTAATGCGGTGGGTCACAATCGCAGGGTTTGGGCGGTGTCCTGGTCCAGAAATTTGGTCTAATGCGGTGGGTCACAATCGCAGGGTTTGGGCGACTTACTCGTGTCGCGAAGTGTGAACGAGGCCTAAGGCTTCGAGCGTAGATGACCAGAGTAGCACTGATACCACTGAGAGTAGTAGAGAGAGTACAAAACTATAGAGGACAACGGTTGTTAAAGTATTGGGAAGTATGAAAGAGTAGGCAACGAGCCAGTAGACGGGCTCCCTCGAAAGGTGGTGATTTAGCAGAGTGAGCCACTTATCATATATGAAAAGTTGGGTCATAGCGGTCATAGAACGCCACGGAGACGAGAGACCGCGGAGAAGACCAGAAATTCGAATAGCTCGCGGTGGCTCTGGCCGTCTGCACTCCAAGCCTGAACCTCTGTCATTGGAAGGCACGCAGAGAAATGCAGGTGGAAAATTAAAATCTAGTCACTTGAATAGATCTAATGAGAGTCATTTCAATAGGGGTCTCAATAACAACCAGAGAAAATCCAATACATCTCAAATTACATCCATATTTGTAGGCACTATGGGTATCTCCCTGTACCCGTGCAGTGTGCCTGGCCATGGTAAGATGTTCGATATGCCTGATGATATGATGGAAGTTGGTTTGGGTATCCACGGTGAACCTGGATGCCGTCGTGAAAGTGTCAGTAATGCACATCAAAGTGTGGATATGATCATGTCAAGGCTACAGAAGATAGTTCAATTCACAAAAGGTAATTGATCTGAAAACTTTGGTCTGTGACCTGTTCATAGTGGAGAGAAGACTTGACTAAGCAAAAACTCTTAAATCCTAAAATGCTTTCCAGACCAGGAAATTGTACTGCTTATCAACAACCTTGGCGGTGTGTCTCAGATAGAAATGAGTATCATCAAAAGCGAGCTATTAAATGGGGCTCCGTAAGTTCTAAGTGTTAATTTTATACAGGTTTCCATTTCAGGTTTATCACTTTTTTTTGGCTTTGAAATTCAGGCCTTTTTCACACCAAATTTCAACCACTTTCCCAGTTTGGAATTTCAAGCACACCCTCTTTACTCCAGTGCATCTGAGCAGCTATGTGTTAGACCTAGTCCACCCATTACACGGCCGCGCTGCTAGCACCGCCCGCCCTGTAAGCCAAGCAACTTCGAATGGATTTTGCGGTTTTTGCAAGTTGTTGATCTCAGTCAGCATGTCAGAGTCTCGACAGTCGCTCGAGGAAAAAAAAACTGATTTGTTTTCTGTTACGAGCGTACAGCAAGACCGTAGCTTACTAATTTGGGGTGTTTTACAATAGTGAGCGGCAGTAAAGCGAGCGAAGTTGTTAGGTGCAGCATAAGAGCGTCAGACCAACATCGTTGAATTGGTCGGAGCAGGAGGCCCACCTATTTTCTATTGGATCGACGTGCGCTCTTGAAAAAAGTGTTTGATAAGGAATCAGAATATTCAGAAAAAAGGAAGTCATCGGAGTGGGCGTGGTCAGTAGGTGGAGCCTGAAGCGTTGGCGCATGAATGCGTGCCGTGAGTGTTCCCGTTGTTTTGATTGAGTGTGAGAACATCGATATTTTTGCAAAAGTTTACATAAAATTTCAAGTTTGCAAAAACTGTCCTCAAGAGTAGGGCCGGGTTATGTTTTGCCGGATAGCATCAATTCTCTCCAGTGAGGTGTGGTGTGTTGAAATAACAAAGGTCTAAAAGAAAACAACAGCACAGGTTATAAAAAAAAAATCTAAAAAATTGTGACTGAGCTGAAAAGTAGTTTTTGGCTGTCACAGCGGGTCATGCACGCATGCGTCTAAGGGTGATCTGGGGTCAATTGAACGTGTCGACGTAAGGATCTCGTGCGTTGGCGAAGATAATTCGAAAGTGTCTGAAGTAATTTGACAAATCTATCTGCTTTTTTAGGTCCTATTTCGGAACGGAACAGAATTATGATCTAAACGAACCGAACTCAGTCTTGTTATGGCTGTGTTTACTTCTATGATAGACTGCTTACAAAGAAGATTTCAGGGGAAAAAGGTATCAGTATTGCACGAGTTCTCTGCGGCCCTTATATGACTTCATTGGATGGACACGGAATCAGCCTCACTGTGTTGAAAGTATTTGACAAAGAAATATTGAACTACATTGGTCAGTTTGCTCTTCAGGGCCTTTGCATGGTTAGGCTGCTCTTCAGAGCCTTTGTACCTTTACGATATTGCCCATTCAGACGCACCAACAAAAGCACCAGGATGGAGAGCAGCGGAGAAAATCGGCAAAGCTGAAACAGCACCCGATAAAGGCAAGACGATCTCACTGGAAACCAAATCGAAAGGAGCGCAATTCTCAAAAGGTTCTTCACGTTCTGCTGTGCGGATAGGGTTACTGTTTGAGAGCCTATCCGTTCAAAAAATGGCCACTTCGAGTCGGAAATTGCGTTCATACTTTCGCGACTTGAAAGTCATTTCCGTCGCGCAATTGCACTGACCGCGACCCAGCGCTAATCGTTGAACCGATCGTGCAACTGATTTCATAATACTTAGGGTAAAACTCGTTTCAAACTTTGGAACAATCCAACGATTAGCGGTGGTGCGCGGGCAGTTGCGGTCGCGTGACTAGTTAGGTCTATTCGCGAAGTATGTACGTAACCTAGCAGAAGGGCACTCTACGTTCTGCGTTCTACTACTGTTTCCTTTTCTCTGCAGTCAGCGTTTGGAGGGTTTGGGCTGCCGGATCAAGCAACGTGCGAAGTATACCGAAGCAAGCTTCTTACACGGCAGCCAGTTCATATCTATAAAGAACCTCGTTCCAAAAGTCTTCGTTCTGTAAGGTTGGGGCGCTGTCGTCCAGTACACATAATGTTTGGGGAATCACACCAAGTCTACGGAGGTCTCATTTGGCACGAAAAAGTCGTTCGATTGTATACGCCTTCGACCCTACTCCTAGCGTTGGTCTCGCGAAGCTACTACAAGACTACTAGTACTGATGGCTTAATATGCTGATGGTTTATGAGCTGGTGTTCCCTCCCCCCCCCCCCCCCCCTCCCGTCCCTCCCCTCGGCCAACACGACGGAGAATTCCTGGTAACGTTTGTGGGTGATTCGTCGCGCTGTGAAGGGGTTGTACCTGCGAGAAAATTGAGGGAAAGGTGATACTTAGCAAGAATTCCTCCAACGCTATGACGTGCCCTGCTTATGGTACAGAGAAAGAGGATATTGAAGACAACTCACGATTTTACCGAAAGGAGCACACTGAAGACTTGTTTTAATGCCCTTCAAACAGGGTTGTCTACCCAGAACAGGTGTTTTCTGAAACTGAACAGAATCCTCATCTCTCCTGACTCACAATCGCTTCTTCACACAGCCCTGTATTAATGCACCACAATGCGGCCGAATGTAGAAACGAACTGCTGTTTTCAGAACAAACAGAGCTAGCCAAAAAATGTATAAGTGCGGTATGCAACAAAATGAAAGAAGTTGAAGCTGAATTGAACGGACTTGACGGTGCAGCTGGTGACGGAGATTGTGGTTCGACTTTCTTTCGTTCACGCCGCAAAAGGTAAACATTTACACGTGAACAGACGTCGCGATGAGCGTGTAAAAGAGGCGTTCGCGAGCCGGGACACTTCATATCCCAAAGATAGGGAGGGCGCGGCTGCATATTCAGGACTTCAGATGCCCTTTTCCGTGCTTTTTCTTTGAAGATTTCCTAATTGGGAAACTGAGTATACCCATCGTGAAACGCGATGATAACAATACGTTCTCAAAAGGGCAGCATCCCATTGGAGGAAGCCACAGGCTCAGATACTGGTGCCATCAAAAGGTCAAAAAGGTCACGTGGAGCGAAACACTCTGCCATCATGAGGCTGATTGTGAGTTATGGGCAAAATGGGGGTCTCGTTCCACTATCATATGTTACATACATCATCCAGAAATAGCTTTCTCTCCTATAGGAGGCTCCATTCTCTTCATTATCAACTATACCGGTGATAGGCTGAATTTTGGCCTAGCTGCGGAGCGATACAAGGCAGCTGGGCACAACGTACGGGTGGGTATTTATTTCAACTTTGTCAAATGATTACAACACCAAGTCAATCTATTCTAGGTAGTTACGATAGCTGATGATGTCGCTATTGACAGCGCCATGTCGACGGCCGGAAGGAGAGGTCTTGCCGCTGCAGTTCTTGTACTCAAAGTAAGTTGACCAGAAGTAAAAAAGGGATGTTTATGGAGGTTAACAGTATTAAAAAAGCAAGACAACACGTCCAATTTTGAAGTATTGAAGGTTGCTGGTGCCATGGCCGAAAGTGGCAAGCATACGGTAGAACAAATTGAATCCATGGCAAACCGAATCAATGACCATGCTGGTGAGTGCTCTTCTTCCTTGCGAAAACCTTTCATCGCAAAATGGAGCTTGGGATGGTGAACGTAGTTGGGCCGGTAGAAGTTCACGTCCTATCTCCCAACCATAGGATGCGAACTTCTAGCGGCCTAGGAAGGCTAACAAGGGAATGGTTTGAACTTCCCATGGAACTTTGAATGGAGACCTAGGTACATCGATAGAGCCTCGAATGCTGATTACGAATATGCAGATTAAAAGTGCTACGGGGACCTCCCAGACGAGATCTGGGTGGTCAAAGTTTGAGTTCTGGCTCGTAAGCGCTGCTGATCGATGCCTCGGCAGTGCCACCGTGGCCTCGTGGTAATGGTCTCGCTTTCAAGTCAAACGCATGCGGGTTTGCATCCGGTTGGCGCGAAAATTTTTGCTTCGCTCCGTATAAGAGCTTCAACTCTAATTTTCGAAATTCTTCCGAATTTACGGCCCAGCAGGGCAAGTAGATCAAGTACATCAAGTATACGACGTACTCGATCTAGTATGGATTTGGTCATATCTGCCCTCTCTGAACATATTACCCATCCAATTCAAAGTTTTGCCCAGAATCGCAATTTGGCCAGACGAGCGTTTTTTCGTCGAAGGATGTGATATTCGTGTTCAGGGGTCGAAATCTCCCATGAACGAGTTTCTCGCTAAAACTTTGAATTGTCGGATGGGTAACCTGTTCAGAGAGGGCAGATATGACCAAATCCATACTAGATCGAGTACGTCGTATACTTGATGTACTTGATCTACTTGCCCTGCTGGGCCGTAAATTCGGAAGAATTTCGAAAATTAGAGTTGAAGCTCTTATAGGGAGCGAAGCAAAAATTTTCGCGCCAACCGGATGCAAACCCGCATGCGTTTGACTTGAAAGCGAGACCATTACCACGAGGCCACGGTGGCACTGCCGAGGCATCGATCAGCAGCGCTTACGAGCCAAAACTGGCTTTTCGCAAACTTCCACCCAGATCTCGTCTGGGAGGTCCCCGTAGCACTTTTAATCTGCATATTCGTAATCAGCATTCGAGGCTCTATCGATGTACCTAGGTCTCCATTCAAAGTTCCATGGGAAGTTCAAACCATTCCCTTGTAAGAAAAGTTCATACTTCATGACACGCGCGATTTAGTCGCGCGACTACTGGCGACCGCTCTTTTCCACTCGTTTGACCACCGCAAATAACCAAGAAGGTTCTCTTCTTAAGGTGATTGAATTATTAGTTGTCCTGGTCCAGACTAATGCGGTGGTCACAATCGCAGGGTTTGGGCGGTGTCCTGGTCCAGAAATTTGGTCTAATGCGGTGGGTCACAATCGCAGGGTTTGGGCGACTTACTCGTGTCGCGAAGTGTGAACGAGGCCTAAGGCTTCGAGCGTAGATGACCAGAGTAGCACTGATACCACTGATAGTAGTAGAGAGAGTACAAAACTATAGAGGACAACGGTTGTTAAAGTATTGGAAGTATGAAAGAGTAGGCAACGAGCCAGTAGACGGGCTCCCTCGAAAGGTGGTGGTTTAGCAGAGTGAGCCACTTATCATATATGAAAAGTTGGGTCATAGCGGTCATAGAACGCCACGGAGACGAGAGACCGCGGAGAAGACCAGAAATTCGAATAGCTCGCGGTGGCTCTGGCCGTCTGCACTCCAAGCCTGAACCTCTGTCATTGGAAGGCACGCAGAGAAATGCAGGTGGAAAATTAAAATCTAGTCACTTGAATAGATCTAATGAGAGTCATTTCAATAGGGGTCTCAATAACAACCAGAGAAAATCCAATACATCTCAAATTACATCCATATTTGTAGGCACTATGGGTATCTCCCTGTACCCGTGCAGTGTGCCTGGCCATGGTAAGATGTTCGATATGCCTGATGATATGATGGAAGTTGGTTTGGGTATCCACGGTGAACCTGGATGCCGTCGTGAAAGTGTCAGTAATGCACATCAAAGTGTGGATATGATCATGTCAAGGCTACAGAAGATAGTTCAATTCACAAAAGGTAATTGATCTGAAAACTTTGGTCTGTGACCTGTTCATAGTGGAGAGAAGACTTGACTAAGCAAAAACTCTTAAATCCTAAAATGCTTTCCAGACCAGGAAATTGTACTGCTTATCAACAACCTTGGCGGTGTGTCTCAGATAGAAATGAGTATCATCAAAAGCGAACGTAATAACTTCGTATAGCAAGTTCTAGTGTTAATTTATACAGTTTCCATTCAAGTTTATCACTTTTTTTCGTTTGAAATTCAGCCTTTTTTCACACCAAATTCAACACTTTCCAGTTGAATTTCAACACGCTCTTTACCCAGTGATCTGAGCACATATGGTTAACCTAGTCACACCATACACGGCGCTGCTAGCACCGCCCGCCCTGTAAGCCAAGCAACTTCGAATGGATTTTGCGGTTTTTGCAAGTTGTTGATCCTCAGTCAGCATGTCAGAGTCTCGACAGTCGCTCGAGGAAAAAAAACTGATTTGTTTTCTGTTACGAGCGTACAGCAAGACCGTAGCTTACTAATTTGGGGTGTTTTACAATAGTGAGCGGCAGTAAAGCGAGCGAAGTTGTTAGGTGCAGCTTGAAAAAAGTGTTTTGATAAGGAATCAGAATATTCAGAAAAAAGGAAGTCATCGGAGTGGGCGTGGTCAGTAGGTGGAGCCTGAAGCGTTGGCGCATGAATGCGTGCCGTGAGTGTTCCCGTTGTTTTGATTGAGTGTGAGAACATCGATATTTTGAAAAGTTACAAAAATTCCAAGTTTGCAAAAACTGTCTCAAAGAGTGGGCCGGGTTATGTTTGCCGGTAGATCAATTCTCTCCAGTGAGCGTGTGTGTTTGAAATAACAAAGGTCTAAAAGAAAACAACAGCACAGGTTATAAAGAAAATCTAAAAAATTGTGACTGAGCTGAAAAGTAGTTTTGGCTGTCACAGCGGGTCATGCAGCTGCGTCTAGTGTGATCTGGTTAATTGACTGTCTGGCGTAAGGAGTGCGTGGGAAGTGATTCGAAAAGTGTTGAAGTAATGAATCTATTGCTTTTTTAGGTCCTATTTCGGAACGGAACAGAATTATGATCTAAACGAACCGAACTCAGTCTTGTTATGGCTGTGTTTACTTCTATGATAGACTGCTTACAAAGAAGATTTCAGGGGAAAAAGGTATCAGTATTGCACGAGTTCTCTGCGGCCCTTATATGACTTCATTGGATGGACACGGAATCAGCCTCACTGTGTTGAAAGTATTTGACAAAGAAATATTGAACTACATTGGTCAGTTTGCTCTTCAGGGCCTTTGCATGGTTAGGCTGCTCTTCAGAGCCTTTGTACCTTTACGATATTGCCCATTCAGACGCACCAACAAAAGCACCAGGATGGAGAGCAGCGGAGAAAATCGGCAAAGCTGAAACAGCACCCGATAAAGGCAAGACGATCTCACTGGAAACCAAATCGAAAGGAGCGCAATTCTCAAAAGGTTCTTCACGTTCTGCTGTCCGTTCGAAAACATGTGCATTGAATTGGATAGGGTTACAGTTGAGAGTGTTTCCGTTCAAAAAATGCCACTTCGAGTCTGAATCTGGGTTCATACTTCGCGACTTGAGTCATTCGGTAGCGCGATTGCCACTGACCGCAACCCAATAGTTGAGCCGATCGTGCAGCTGATAATTTCATCATACTTAGGGTAAAACTCGTCCTCAAACTTTGAAACGATCCAACGATTAGCGGTGGTGCACGGGCAGGCGCACTCGCGTGACTTATTCGGTCTATTCGCGAAGTATGTACGTAGCAGAAGAAAGGCACTCTACCTGGGCACAGGTTTAGGAGAATTTCGTCACGATTATCGTCCGCTTAGGCTGCGTTTATACTTTGCGGCAGCGTAGCGCAGCGTAGCGTAGCGCTTCCAGCGTACGCCAGCGGCAGTGCCGGGGAGAGGATGCATATCGATCTAGCGTTCCCAGCGTCACCAGCGTCAACGCTAGCGGCACCGCTAGCGTACGCCAGCGTTTCTCCAGCGTTTTGCTAGCGTTTGCAGCGGCAGGGGAGTAGAGACTATGGGAGAGCTGGAGGGTACAAAACACATCGATTGCGCGTCTCTCACTCGCCCTTAGTCTCCTACAATACATCAGTCGCTTCCTGCGTCTCCCGACGCCACATATCTCCTCACCTATATCATCATCGATTCCGCGTCTCTGACGGCGCGCACAGTCCCTCTACCATACACACCAATGCGTTCGATTCCGCGTCTTCTGCCGGCCACATAGTCTCTACTCCCTGCGCTCAAGTCGGCTACAGAAACGCTGGTGCCGCTGAGAAGCGCTCGATCAAAGCGCTGGTGACAGCTGTGATGCGATAGCTATGCTGGTCCCCGTGCCCCTATCGGCTACGTCCAGCGTGCGCTAGCGTACGCTGGTGACGCTGGTGAAGCTAGATCGATATCTATCCTTTCCCCGGCACTGCCGCTGGCGTACGCTGGAAGCGCTACGCTACGCTGCCGCAAAGTAAACGCAGCCTTATTCCATTTTTTCACCAATGTTTTGAGCACAATACGGTGTTTCCTTTTCTTTACAGTCAACTAGAAGTTGGGAAGGTTTCCGGGCTACCAGATCAAGCAACGTGCGAATATCTGAGCAAGCTCTCACACGACAAGAATTCATTCTATGAAAACCTCATTTCGTAAAGGGCTTCGTCGCAGTAAGGTGGAGCGTTGCCATCAGTGCACATAATGTTTAGGGAGACAACGGGGCGGGGGTCGTATTTGGTCGAAAAAAACCTTGCAAATTTTACTTTTCCCGGGGATACCTACTGTCCTACTCCTAGCCGTTGGCCTCGCGAAGCTACTAAAGCTACTATTTCTGATGGTTAATCGCAGGTGTTTCCCCTCTTCCTCGCCCAACTCGACGGCATATTTCTGGGTAACTTTCGTTGGGTGATCGGTCGGCTGTGAAGGTGCGAGAAAATTGAGGAGGAAAATGATACTTAAGTTAGATCAAGAATTCCTCCAACGCTATGACGTGCCCTGCTTATGGTACAGAGAAAGAGGATATTGAAGACAATGATTTTACTGAAGACACACTGAAGATTGTTTTAAATGCCCC